AATACCGCATTACCACCCAGCTTTACTCTACATACATTTCCTGTACTCCGCTTTCCTTTCTTTAAATATACATTGAGTAATAATGTGTTTAATAGAGCTTTGCACACATTTGTTTACATTTTGCAAAAACGAAACTTAAAACTGCATGACTAATTTGCACAAACTCTAAGCTCTGAAAAAAAAAAAACAGCTCGTTCTTTGTGCTGCTGATGCGGTTCAGCTTCTTTCGGATTAAAGACACGACTCAGTGGAATATGATGTTCTTTCTGTGACAGAGGATGTTCTGATGATGGTGAGTCTGTTCTGTGCTTTTGTTGCGTTGAAGATGGACCTCAACGTAGATCCATAAATCCATAAATTGGATTTAAAAAACGCAGCTTTGACGCTCCCAAAATCATGTTGTCTGAGGTTGCGATTTTCGGTCCAAAATGATAGATCGTTGAGCCCTACCTGGAGTTGTGTTTTGGTTCCTTTCACAAACACGAGTGAATGAAACAAAACACGACTCCACAAGCCGTTACAACATGGCTTAAAGCTCACAGGAGTCAATTTTGCGTAATGTTGAACCTTTAAAAAAAAAAAAACCGCCTGATCACGGACTATTAGAAATGACTGAATCTCAATTAAAATTCGATTAAACACACACGGCTCTCCCCTCGTCACCCTTCCTATGAGCCTTTTATTACCCTCCAGCCCCCTGAGCAGTCTCTCCGCTGCAGCTCCCTGACGCCGCTGTGTTCGTTAATGCTTTTGACTCCATCCGATGAAATTAATGTCAAACCGAGACCGAGGCTTATGTCACCTGCCACCTCTCGTTTGGCTGTAAATAATTCAAAGTAAGAGCAGCGTTTGTGGCCCGCAGTCCGCTCTGACCTCCTATGTAAACCGTAAAGACAAACCAACCCTATTTTATTAAGTGGTAATAGCAATGGAAGTTGTCAAACAAGCTGGTATTGAATAAACAGACTCCCAACATGGCCGCCTTTTATCTTAAGTAAATACATGACTTTGTATAATGCATATTTGGGTCATCGAGCACTGGTGTGTAAATTAAAGGTGACTCTGCAACTTTTCTTCGCCATCTGCTTGTCTTCGTAGAGATGTCGGGATTTGGGGGCGTTACAGAAAAGACGAATCCAAATCCAATCTTTTATCTTGGAAAAAATGGCAACAAAACCAACCAATGCGTTATAATTAGAAAACCTTCAAACCCTGAAATTTAAGAGTTTGGTCGACCTTTACGCTTTGAAAATCGTGTTCAAAGTAAACAACGACCTCTCGCCAAAGTCATTACAGAATATGTTTAAAATCCAAAATAGCCAGTATGAGCTCAGAGGTACGGCCACGTTTATAAAAAAAGTAAATCAGAACAAATACTGTATTTTTTGGACTATAAGGTGCACCGGATTGTAAGGCGCAATATCAATAATGTTGAATTCTCTCGTGTATTTTCATACATAAGTCACACCGGATTATAAGGTGCATTAATCAAAACAAACGGACGACACTTGAGACTGATTCCTTAGCCCAGATGTACACGATCCATGTCGTAATTCGCCCGGTGTTGCCTCCCTGTTTTGGTGAATGTGTATTATGAATGTGAATGTGGGTGGATAATTAAAGTTTTTTATTTCCTACAAGGACGACTCAAATATACATTGAGTAATAATGTGTTTAATGCAGCTTTGCGCACATTTGTTTACATTTTACAGAAACTAAACTTAAAACCACATGACTAATTTGCATAAACTATAAGCGCTGAAAACACAGCTCGCTCCTTGTGCGCTGATTAGTACGACCAAAGTTGTACTAAAACAATTTGACACATTTTTGAGCGCCGTGTACCACATAAAATCGGTTCAAGGTCAGTAAGGTCTATTTTTGAGAAAATTAAAGGATTTTAAGTGCGCCTTATAGTCCAAAAAATACAGTATTATGACATTTTATCTATCTGTTATAAGGGTGGATCTCTGGAACAGCTGTGCACCGCTCTCTTCCACTTTAAAAATAAGTTTAATTGTTTTACTCTGGGCAGATACTTAAATTATGCTTGTTAGTTTGTGCTATAGGACTTTGCAGTACTGTTATTGTCTTATTTGTTTCCTCTCGCTGTGTTTATGAATATGAACTGGTTTCAAGATGATGCGGTGACAAAGGAATAAATTGTGGGCATAATGAGCTCAAGCTTCAGCCTACACCTTTTCAGTTTGTTTATGTTAACTGTGACTGTCTGCGGAATAATGTGAGAATATACCTGTGACAAAAATAAATGAATCAAATGTTCCACAGTATAGCATTAAGTTTATCCAGCATCATAACAGACTAATGTGACACCACCAGGCCAGGCTACAGGTCAGATGTGTGGAGAGGCGAGCACACTCATGTGGCCAGCAAAATTCGAACTACCGTATTTTTCGGAGTATAAGTCGCACCAGCCCAAAAATCATAATGAAGAAGAAATAAACATATATAAGTTGCACTTTTTGGGGGAAATTTATTATAAAATCCAAGACCAGGAACCGACATTTCATCTTGAAAGTCAAGTTCTAGTAAAAACAACAGAACAGAGAACAACAGACTGTTAACGTCACATATGAACAGTTCTTCAGATAATTATAGCATCAAGAACAGAACAAGTTTACCAAACTCTCCATCTCACTCCAAATCACTAAATCCATTCAATTCTTCATCCTCGGTGTCACTTCTGAGCAACTCCACGACCTCCGGAGGTAAACAGAGCGCCGCTTCCTCTTCTGTGTCGCTGTCGTCAGACTCAGCATCAGTTCCAGTTAGAATTATTCCGGCCTTTCACATTTCTTCATTAAACACTGGACAAAATGGTTGAAATATAAACAAAACGAGACTTGACTTCTATATCCTTATAACAACGGAACAGTGCCCCAGGTTTTTGTTTTTGTATTTATTTGTTTGTTTCTCAAAGCTTGAAAAACTGAATAAATAAAAAGTTTAAACAATAATAATAATAATAATAAAAAAATAGAATTATTCCGGCCTTTCTGAATCCCGACAGGATGGTTTCTGTGTCACTGAAGTCCAGACTTTGTCCATCCATCCAGTGACTTCAGGAAAGTTTCATGGTGCATCCTCCCGGTGTCACAAGTTTCTCACTCACTTCAAACTTTCTTTCTGCTGTTCAGTTACCGTTTTTTTCAGCTGAATATTTCACGACTTGCAGCTTGTAATCTGCAAAATATGATTTACTTTTTGGGGGCATTTGTGTTCAGTCTTCTCAATCGTCTTTTTAAGTTTGTTTAAATGTTAAATTTTCAGTGATACAGAAGGAACGGTGCGATCGACTGACATGATACAGACAAGACGGAGGCTCTTTCTGCAGGAGACATGCGCAGTAGAGCCACAGTAGTGACAGTGGTACAGGAGGAACAGGAGCAGCAGATACTCACACACATGGCTGTCAGTGTGAACATTTTGATATATAAGTCACACTGGAGTATTAAGTCACAGGAAACACCCAAACCATGAACGTACATTTCCAAAAAGCAGCACTAGGACAAAAACAAAAATATAAAATCTAATAAAAAATTGAGCGACCAAAGCTGGTAACTGAATATTGAAATTTATATATTAGAAATGATATTAAAATCTCGTCTTGTCTCGTTCTCATGGACTCAGTGTCGTCTCATCTTGTGGAAATTGTATCTCTCAAATGGCTTTAAACAGCCTTTGAGCAGGCAAAGAATTCCTATTTACTACTTTTTTCGGCGTTCACAAACTAAACTCTCCCTTTAGTTGTTTTGTGAGGTAAAGCCATTGTTTCCATCTAGGTCAATATGAGACAACTTAAGCAGAAGTGCACTTTTCTGCTGTGAGTGCTGTTACCTTGGACATGTTCTCTGGTATTTATAGACCCCAGTGCAGCCCATTATCTGGGGAAAAAATGATTTTCTCATTTAGGGCAGTCGCTGGGTTAGATTGACCATCGGGGTTTAGTGCTGTAGAGCAATGGGTCTCAAACTGTGGGGCTGTGTCGCAATCTGTTCAGTGGAATTTATTTTTGTTTATTTTAGCTTTGTACTTGTGAAGTCAGAGCTTTTTCATCTGATCTGGTTTAGACCTGATTTTAGATCTGGTTCAGACCTGGTTTATGAGGTTTAGTTCTGGTTTAGACCTGGCTTGGACCTGGTTTGGACCTGGTTTGGTTATATACCTGGTTTGGGACCTGGTTAGGATCTGGTTTAGAGTTGCTGTAGACCCTCTTTAGTCTTGGTCTATGAAGTTTAGACCTGGTTTAGGCCTGGTTCAGAACCTGGTTTGAGGTTTAGACCTGGTTTAGGATCTAGTTTAGACCCAGTGTATGAGGTTTAGACCTGATTCAAACCTGGTTTATGAGGTTTAGACCTGGTTTAGACCTGGCTCAGACCCGGTTTAAGAGGTTTATGAGGTTTAGACTCGATTCAGACCTGGTTCAGACCCAGTTTATGAGGTTTAGACCTGGTTTAGACCTGGTTCAGACCCAGTGTATGAGGTTTAGACCTGGTTTAGACCTGGTTCAGACCCAGTTTATGAGGTTTAGACCTGGTTTAGACCTGGTTCAGACTCGGTGTATGAGATTCAGACCTCGTTCAGACCCGGTGTATGAGGTTTAGTCCTGGTTCAAACCTGGTTTATGAGGTTTAGACCGGGTTTAGAACCAGTTCAGACCTGGTTTAGACTCGGTGTATGAGAGTTAGACCTGGTTTAGACCTGGCTGAGACTTGGTTTAGACCCGGGTCAGACCTTGTTCATGAGGTTCAGACCTGGTTTGGACCTGTTTCGGACCTGTTTCAGACCCGGTTTCTGAGTCGATCCTGCCCGTCTGCTCAGCCCACTGCTGCAGCACGGTTATGTCAGGATCCTGTGCATCTAAATGTGACTGTTGATGTCGTAGCCGTGGGGAAAATTAGCTAACATTTTCAAAGGTTTTCAAATGCCGTTATGAAACCGATCTAATTTTTGATGTTTTGTTCTGTCTTCTTCCTTAGGGGAGCTTTCTCAGTGGTGCGTAGGTGTGTAAAGAAGTCATCGGGACAGGAATATGCTGCAAAAATTATCAACACTAAGAAATTGTCTGCAAGAGGTAAGATGTTTTATACAGCTGGTAAACATCTATAACGTCTATAATGGCTACTGTGGTTGGACAACTTTAAAACTGTAATGTGTTATTTATGACGTGTTACTGTCATTTCAAAGTGATTTGTTTCGTTACAATATTACTGTGTTTAAAATGTAAAATATTACACGACTACTGCAGCACTTTAAGAGACTCTCACCAAAATAACTGCGAAGATCCTGAACTTTTGCGCCGTTTCTGCACTAAACCAGGACTGAACCAGGACTGAACCAGGACTGAACCAGGACTGAACCAGGACTGAACCAGGACTGAACCAGGACTGAACCAAGACTGAGCCAGGACTAAACTAAGATTAAACCAGGACTGAACCAGGACTAAATTAGGTCTAAACCAGGACAAAACTAGGTCTAAAGCTGGACTGAACCTGGACTGAACCTGGACTGAACCTGAACGGAGGACTGAACCAGGACTGAACGGAGGACTGAACCAGGACTGAACGGAGGACTAAACCAGGACACAACTAGGTCTAAACTAGGTCTAAACCAGGACAAAACTAGGTCTAAAGCTGGACTGAACCAGGACTGAACGGAGGACTGAACCAGGACTGAACGGAGGACTAAACCAGGACACAACTAGGTCTAAACTAGGTCTAAACTAGGTCTAAACCAGGACTAAACCAGGACTGAACCAGGACTGAACCAGGACTGAACCAGGACTAAACTAGGACTGAACCAGGACTAAACCAGAGCTGAACCAGGACTGAACCAGGACTGTGTTGTCTGTTTGTTTCGCTTAATGCTCTTTATAATCTGGTGCACCTTATAGTCCAAAAAATACGGTAATTGCTCTATAAGACAATGTGAATGGACTCAATTGGCAAAGTCACTAAGGATGTGATTTTTGAAGTACGACAAACGACAAAATCTCCAGTTTTATTCTGCATAAAAAAGTCAGTTTTTTGGTTTAATCTTGTACAAACATGGTCTGAAATGTGATTCTTGAATTTTGTAACACTGAAGAGAATTCTGCCTTTTAATCAAATCGCAAATTTAATCACAGTGCTTGTCTGAACAATCTGAATTTCATATTATTCCCATCTCCCCGCGTTTTTCATTGGTTATAAGCCCATACAAAACTAAATATTACAGCACGTTGGGAAGCAGCTCTCCTCACAGCGTTTGGACAAATTGCGTTAAACTAACCTGATTACTCCACTTATTACATAACTTTTCATTTCGATTTTGGACCCCGCGCTGTCGTTGTCAAGGTCACTCGTCTCTTCTTTGCCAATCCCGAACGCCGCTGTGGGCTTTATCCTGATAAATCAAGCCACTTGATCATATTGACGCAAAAATCCCGTAAATTCAATGGTACCGCCCCGCGTATCGATCACGGTGCACACACACACACACACACACACACACACGAGAGGCACACTAACCTACTATAGATGTAACAGCCGTGGACGACCAGGAGAGGCTGAAATCATTACCGGAGACTCACATTTATCAGAGACTGCGCTGGTGGGTCTAAGGGCTCTGAGATCATTGCGTAACTTTTCTGGTGTTGTTTCAGCTACTTGCTTGTGTCCATGGAGACGTTATGGCTTTGCCTGGATAAGATATTAAACATTTCCATCGAGCTTTTACTCATTACGGACGTTTCTGTTGCTCAAAAATACAGTAATTCCTTCTGTGAATAGAGGCGACTCTCCACAGATCTGACTTGTAATGTTGCGTAGTGCTGTAACTTGCTTGTGATAGATGGTTTAAGCTATACTGTGGAACATTGTAGACAAAGCGATAACATTTCCAGCCAGACAAGCAAGTAAAGTTGCACAGTGCACCTTATAATATTTAAGGTACCGTATTTTTTGGACTATAAGGTGCACTTAAATTCTTTGAATTTTCTCAAAAACTGACAGTGCGCCTTATGTATTAATTCTGGTTGTGCTCACTGACCTCGAACAGATTTTATGTGGTACACGGCGCTCAAAAGTCTGTCAGAACGTTTTAGTACGACTTTTGTGAGCTACGAAGCCGCACCGCTTGATGGATTGTTGGAGCGTTACGGCTACTTTAGTCAGGAGTCTCGCGGAGTAAGAGTGAGCGTTTTTTTTTTTTTTCAGCGTTTATAGTTTATGGGAATGAGCCATGTGGTTTTAAGTTTTGTTTCTGTAAAACGTAAACAAATGTGCGCAAAGCTGCATTAATTAAACACATTATTACTCAATGTATATTTGAGTCGTCCTCGTAGGAAATAAAAAACTGAAATTATCCACCCACATTCACATTCATAATACACATTCACCAAGACAGAGAGGCAACGCCGGGCGAATTACGCCACGATCTGCCTGTGGATCTTGGGCTAAGGATCAGTCTCAAGTGTCGTCTGTTTGTTTTGATTAATGCTTCCTTATAATCCAGTGCACCTTATGTGTGAAAACAGACGAGAGAATTGAACATTACTGATATTGCGCCTTATAGTCCGAAAAAATACGACAACTTAAATTAGGTAACTTTTTGGTTGGGCGTCCATCACCTGCTTGTTTCTATAGATACTGGTCTGCTTAGAATGTTCCACAGTGTGACATTAAACAACTCTACCTTACATTTATTCAATTACATTTGGTTTTAAAGCTCAAAAATACTTAAAAAAAAAAAAACAGGTGTTCTGACTGTGAGTGGGGTCGCCTCTCCACAGATCTGACCTGTAACTTGGCCTGGTTTGATCTCCATGAAGATAGAAAGGTTTAATGTCATACTGTGAAACATTCCAGACAAAGTAAAAACACAAGAAAACACACACAAAAAAAAGAGTTTGACGGACCCTCCACCAGAAAAATTACACAATGAATTAAGGCCGTGTGATTAATTGAATTTTGATCACGTTTTAAAGCTTAACAAAGTTGATTTAAATAGTATTTTTATATATTTATTTAATTTTTTAACTATAGAGATTGTAGAACAGCTAGATATATAGTTTATTTTGGACACATTTATTTTTCTATGCCTTATTTCATGTTGAAAGTATATTTTATTCATTTTGTTTTATACATATTTGTAGCCTGAATTTAATTTAAATTTGAAAGTTTTGTTAAATTATCAGTAACAAAGTGGTTATTTTGAGAGGGAAATGCTGAATAAATGCATCGTGTAACTAAAAAATAATCATCTGAATAATCCTGCTTTTAGTATTGACCAAAATAATCGTGTTAATTTTTTTTTTTGCACCTTTATCGCTCTTGGACGCATTTTAAAACTAACTCTACGAACCGATTCTTTACTTTTCACCCAGAATCCGCGAATGTGTGCCAGTCTGAGAAATTGCAATTAAATATGCGCCGTTGCGTGTGTGATGGAACTCCGCTGGACTTCACTTTTATTCGATGATTGCGTCATGGGGGAGGCCTTATCAGCAGATGGTTTAATGATTCTCTTTATAAACCTGCATTGAATAAAACTCCGTTGCTCCTCCGTGGCGTCATTACCGAACTGTTGTACAAAGAATCGATCTGAATTTCAATGCGGGACCTCACTGGACGGTTACGCGGTGGATGTTTATATACGGACTGGTCATATTTGTCACAAGCTGAAGGGTCGGGTAATTGAAATGAATAGGCCGTGGAGATGGTCTATGTCAGTGTCGTATGCGATGGTTGTTTAAGTCATGTTTTATGTATTAAATAAGGTCCCGTATTGATTTTTATAGCTGATATCAGAAATTTGCTCAACATTCCCTGGTGGTGTAACGCTTTTAGACTTTAATCAGATTTTTTTTGAGTTGCACATGTAGCATATATAAAAGGTGTATGCAAGGGACAAAGGGGTGGAGTTGGTGTAGGTACAGGGCTAGAAAACAGAAGGCTTGGCTACGGCTCTCTGGGAGGAAGGGAAACAGTAAAAAGCACAACAAAGTGCAGAGATATGGTTGGTATTTTATATTGAAAAGTGAAAAAGATATATATACAATATTTACAATATTTACAATGATCTGCAGATTTTCTCAAGTTTGGTTAATACATGTGAAACAATATGAAACAGTAGTGGTGAATAAGCCACTTTGTTAGTGTCCTTTATCATTGTCAAAAAACCAAAAGGTGAAATTTAATGTCCGCACTTCATGTTGAAGTGTGCATATAGTCTTTTGGGGTGTGTGTGTGTGTAATTGTCCAAACGCGGGTTGAGTAGGTATAATGCGGGAGTGGACTGGCTGCAACAGCCCCTAACCCGAGCGTAGAAGCTGTTTGAAGTGTCTTTAGTTGTAGGCAAAGTTCCTGAATCACCTGTGTGCAGCAATAGTTAAAAAAAAAGCAGAGGGAACTACATAGACCATAGATCCTTTGCTCCATTTCAGTGCAGACTACATGAAGAAATAACAAGTTTCTAAAATAACACTGTTTAAGTCTTAGTTTTTTGGATTAAGTCTCGTCAAGGCATTTTAAGAGAAAAAAGATGCATATTAACAGTTTCACCTGTTCAGCCTCCACAAATATATCACAATAATATTCGATGAGAAACAGTATCGTACCGAGAGATTTGGTTATTGTTACATCCCTAATCGTGAGACCCCACGATATCGCAATAAATATGGTACCGTGAGGTTCATACCGTGACGATATCGTATAGTGACATTGGGATATCGTTACACCCCTAAAAGACTGACATTATAAAATGCCAAACATTTATTGTCCTATTCTAGGGATGTAACAATATCCAAATCTCACGGTACGATATTTATTGTGATATTTTGAAGAGGATAATAACTAAAGATGGGACCCTTTTTTGCTTTTAAAATACCTTGAAAAGATTTTGGTGTGAATTATTTCTGTCATAATCCCAAAAATTCAAGGAAAAAACACATGTTTTCTGCACTGAAACTGAATCATGGGATATGTAGTTCCCGATGTTCATAAGCTGTTGCTGCTGTAAAACCATGCATTTAAGTAAAGGAACTTGTGATTTGATATATTGTGAAAGCCCACGATATTATTGTGAGACTTTTGA